ACGGCAACCACCACGGCACTGCACATTTGCAACCACATCGTTGGCGTTTCGCGCGCCCCCCACCAGCCAATCCAGAAACGATGCCCAAGGGAGTTGACGTCGTCAGGGGAGCGGGCGACCATGCAGACGCACAACGTGCTGGGGAAGTTGTCATGTATTGTTGACGCTTCGCGAATCCCCACCAGCCCATCCAGAAACGATGCCCAGGGGAATTGCCTCGATCAGGGAAGTGGGCAGCACACCGAGGAAACCATTCTGAGACATCCTGTGATATCTTGAGCAATCTTGTAGGTCATCCTGGGCTCTCCCAGGCGCTCTTGGCGTCATCTTCACCCGCCCCCCCCCCCAAGAGGCCACCATGTGGCTAACACCTTCGTAATATCAAGGATTTGGCATTCTCGCCGAGGCCTCTTGGAGCATCTTGGGTGCCGCTGGGTGGTCGCTTGGGGCCTCTTGGGGGTCTCGGGAGCCTCTTGGGGACATGCTGGGGGCCTCTTGGGGCGCCCTGGCCACCTCTTGGGGCCCTCTTGGGGCACCCTTGGGAGCCTGTCGAGCAATTGTTGGGCCATCTTGGGCGATATCAATCACAGGAGGGGGGGGGTCTAGTTAGCGTGCCCCCCAAGAGGCCAAATTTGGGCCAACACCCTAGTAAAACAAATGATGTTGGCTTCCTCGCCGAGGCCGTTTTGGACGTTCCGACGACTGGTTGAAACCCCCGTCCAGGTCCATGGGGAGGAGGTAGGGAGAGGGGTAAACCCCTCACCGAATTTGGACAATGAGGGGTGGAAGAGGGCGCCCCCCTAAACCACCGACGCCCAGAGGGCTGGTGGGACTCCAAGAGAGGTGGATGGAGGAGGAATCGTCGTCGTCGGAAGGGCGATGACGAGGAGGGCGAGCAAGGAGGAGAAGGACGAGAAGGAGGACAATGGGGAGAATGCTGAGAAGGAGGGGCACGAGGATAATGAGTAAAATGCTGAGGAGGAGGAGGAGGAGGACGAGGCGGAGGAGGAGGAGGAAGAGGAGGAGACGAAGGAGGAGGACGAGGACCAGCAACATAGTCAAGAAGCATCTTGAATGCCTCTCGGATGTCTCTTAGAAGCCGTTTGGATGCCCCTTCGGGCGTCTTGGGGGCCCCGTGGCGGCCATTGGGGTGCTCTTGGGCGTCTTGGGTGCTTCGGGGGGGCCTCCTGGGACCGCTTGGGGTCCTCTTGGTGGGCTTGTGGTGCCGTTTGGCGGCCTCTTGGGGGCCATTTGGGGGCCTCTTGGGGCCATCTTGGAAGCCTCGCGGTGCCTCCTGGGCGCATCTTGGGGCCATCTGGAAGGAGATCGATCACAGAAGGGGGGGTCCTAAATTCGCGCCCCTCCTAGAGGGCGCCCAACATCACCTCGTGGGCCCCCTCTTGGGGCGCTCTTGGAACACTTTTGGGCGCTCTTGGGGCCGTGTTAGGGCTCTTTTGGGCCTCTCTTGGGGCCTTCTTGGGCAATCCTGGAACCATCTTGAGGCCTCGGATGGCCAACTTGCAAGTGAACAGGCGAGACAGCAAACAACATTGATGGTCCTTAAGTCTTTCAAGGAGTTGGGCGCCTTCGGGCCCCCCGTGGCGAGCTCGGAGGTCTCTCGGAGCCGCCTTGGCGCGGTCTTGGGGTCTCTTGGAGCAGCTTCGGGGCCATCGTGAGGCATATTAGGCTATCGTGAGCCATCATGGAGGCCATCTTGGGCTCTCTGAGCCCCTCTTGGAGCAATACTGGGCCATCTTGGACGCCCTGACCGCTCGCGTCCCCCCCCCCCCGTCCAGGTCCAGGGGATGGGGGGCCTCTCACCGAAGGGGGAGAAGGAGGTTGGAGTAGGACGATCCTTAAACCAAATACGCACAGAAGGCTGGTGAGATTTTTGCCGCGCAACCTAACGCACAGCGAAGACGATTACACACCAATCCCCAAAGAGGTTGAGGCAGGTAACGCTGCTACGACTAAAGAAAGTAAGCTAGACCAAGATAAGTTGCACTCAGCTTCTGAAGAGTGTTGGTTGAAAAAGGGGCAGGCGGCATTACGCTGAAGGAGCGAAGCTCCATGAATGGCGACAGACCCCGTGGTGTGCAGCGACAGCTGCGAGACTCATCAAGGGTGGAATATGTAATATCAACGGCCACGTGGGACGACAGCCGCAGCTGCAGGCAACGTGTTGGATCGGCGAAACAAGCTTACACACGGTCCCTGCGTCGAGTCTGCATTCGAATCTCAGGCTCGTACATCCTACTCTCATATGTGAATCCGTATTCGCATACACCCATGCATACCCCTTTTGGCAGAGCGCTACCTATACCAATCAATCGAACTAGATTTTGACGTAGAGCGGGCCGTCCATCAACGATGTTGCTGATATGAGTCCTGACCGATGCTGTGAAACTCGCGCCTTGCGGCCAACGCCGCGAAGACTAAAACGCACAGGTCAGAAGCAGAGACACAACTCAGGCGCCGTGCCCTTGGGGCACGGTGGGCGCGCCTTGACGACGCGACGGCGCCCTCGAAATGCACCTCTCACCCCATTGACGGCCGCCACCTGGAAGCCATTCATAGTGGCGCTCTTGCGATAGCCGTCAAGGGTGGTATGACTGAAACCAGCACTCCCCCGCGCTCCTCGTGGTCACCCTGTTTAGTGAACGTGCAAGTGGCGTTATCAATCAACAATCCCACCAGCCCTCTGGGCGTAGGTGGTCTAAGGAGATTCCTCGTCAAACCCCCTTTTTCCCCTCAGGGGAGGGGTTTACCCCTCCCCCTACCCCCTCCCCTGGACCTAGACGGGGGAGAGGCGAGCGGTCGGAGCGCCCAAAGCGGCACCAGCGAGGAAGCCAAACTCATTGGTTTTACTAAGGTGTTGGCCCTTTGTTGGCATCTCGGGGGGGGGCGAATACAGGACCCCATCTTCTTTGATCAATCTCCTCCAAGATGGCCCCACGAGCGCCCCCAAGGTTCCCAAGAGGGCCCCAAGCGGGTCCCAAGAGGCGCCCAACATCACTTCGTGGGCCCCTCTTGGGGCGCTCTTGGGGCACTTGGGCGCTCTTGGGGCCGTGTCGGGGCTCTCTCGGGCCTCTCTTGGGGCCTTATTGGGCAATCCTGGAGCCATCTTGAGGCCTCGGATGGCCATCGGAAGCGAACAGGCGAGACAGCAACCAGCATTGATGGTCCTTAAGTCTTTCAAGGAGTTGGGCTTCTTCGGGGCCCCCGTGGCGAGCTCGGAGGCCTCTCGGAGCCGTCTTGGAGCGGTCTTGGGGTCTCTTGGGGCAGCTTCGGGGCCATCGTGAGGCATCTCAGGCTATCGTGAGCCATCCTGGAGGTCATCTTGGGCTCTCTGAGCCCCTCTTAGAGCAGTACTGGGCCACTCTTCAGAAGCTGAGTGCGACTTAGCTTAGTCTAGTTTACTTGCTTTCGTCGTAGTCGCGTTACCTGCCTCAACCGCGTTGGGGATTGGTGTTTAATCGTCTTCGTTGCGCGTTATATTGCGTGGCAAAATCTCACCAGCCCTCTGTACGTATTTGGTTTAAGGATCGTCCTACTCCAACCTCCTTCTTCCCCTTAGGTGAGGGGCCCCCCCATCCCCTGGACCTGGACGGGGGGGGGCGCGAGCGGTCAGGGCGTCCAAGATGCTGGTTGAAAAAGGGGGCAGGCGGCATCACGCCTTATGCTGAAGGAGCGAAGCTCCATGAATGGCGACAGACGCCGTGGTGTGCAGCGACAGCTGCGAGACTCATCAAGGGCGGACTCTGCAATAGCAGCTCGAACCTCATGCTCACACATCCTACTCTCATATGTGTATCCGTATTCGTATACACCCATGCATACCCCTTTTGGCAGAACGCTACCTATAATGTTCAATCGAACGAGGTTCTGACGTAGAACGGGCCGTCCGACAACGATGCTGCTGCTATGAGTCCTGCCCGATGTTGGAAAAGTCGCGTCTTGCGGCCAACGCCGCGAAGACTAAAACGCACAGGTCAGAAGCACATTGACAACTCAGGCGCTGCGCCCTTGCCGCACGGTGGGCGCGCCTGACCACGCGACGGCGCCCTCGAAATGCACCTCTCGCCCCACTGACGGCCGTCAATTGGAAGCCGTCCATAGGGGCCCTCTTGCGATAGCCGTCAAGGGTGATAGGACTGACACCCGCCCTCCCCCGCGCTCCTCCTGGTCACCCTGTGTAATAAAAATGTAAGTGGCATTAAAACTAAACGATCCCACCAGCCCTCTGGGCGTAGGTGGTCTAAGGAGATTCCTCTTCCAACCCCCTTCTTCCCCTTCGGGGAGAGGTTTACCCCTCCCCCTACCCCCTCCCCTGGACCTGGACGGGGGGGGGCGGCGAGCGGTCACAGCGCCCAAAACGGCACCAGCGAGGAAGCCAAACTCATTGGTTTTACTAAGGTTTTGGCTCCTTTTTGGCCTCTCGGAGGGGGGGACGCGAATACAGGACCCCATCTTCTTTGATCGATCTCCTCCAAGATGGCCCCAAGAGCGCCCCCAAGGCTCCCAAGAGGGTCCCAAGAGGGCACCAAGAGGCGCCCAGGAGGCCCCAAGAGCCCAAGAGGCTCCCAAGAGGACCCCAAACAGCCCCCAAGAGACCCCCCAAAGGCCCCCAACGGCCCCCCGAGGCACCCAAGACGCTCCAGGAGGCCTCCAGGACCGACATGAGGCCCCCAAGACGTCCCAAGAGGCGCCCAAGAAGCTCCCAAGAGACATCCGAAGAGACTCAAAGAGGCATCCAAGAGGCCTCTGACCTTTCTGCTCACATCTCCTCCTCCTCCGATTCCTTTGCCATCCTCCCGCTCTTGGGGTAAGACGGTTTCCCCAGCCCTTTGTTCCTCTGTATGCTCCCTCACTTCCCTGATCACCTCAACCCGCCTGGGCACCGTTTCTGGATGGGCTGGTGGGGACACGCGAAGCGTCAAGAATTGTTTAGCCAGCATGCTCGGCACTGCATCCGGCACGCAGCGGCGCAAAGAGGAGTCACTTGGCAGCCAAGCCGCCCTTCATCTTCATGGCGTTGGTCAGGCGGCGCAGCACGATCTTAGGGAGCGATTCCTTCGATATCCCATGCTGCTGCAACTCTGTCACGCACGAAAACGCCGCCGACCGCCACTCCGTCTTCTCACTCGACTTGATCTTGGCCATGAACTTCAGCTGGCAGTTGATGCTGATCGCATGTGTGATGACGTCTGAGATATCCTTCCACTGCCCGTCCTTCGACTGAAGGGCGTGCATGGTCGCTCTCTTGAGCTCCTCGACGCGCGAGTCGATCGACGAGCTGTCAAGGCGCATCAGCGTATTGTTGCTCTTCTCGACGAACTCCTCCCAACAATCCCCGTCCACGTCCACTCCGTCGTAGTAGGGGCGATCAAAGTACGTGTACTCCTTGGTCTTCTTCACCAAAGGCTCGTGCTTCTCCCGCAGGCGGTCAATGTGTTCCGTGCTGAGCTTCTCCAAGAATCTCGACACATTCGTCATCAGGTTGATCACCGCCAGCGGCACCGACAAGCTCTTGCCCGACGTCTTGGTTTCCAAAGACCGTTGACTGTGCGCCAGGGCAATGAGAAGCCGTTCCTCCTCTGGCCAATTCCGCTCACTCTGCTCTGTTGCTCTGGAAAGGTACTCTAATTTCTCGCTCAGCTTCCGAGTCGATTTTGCCCACTCGCACAAGAGCACGTTCTCTGCAGCCGCGGCCTTGGACAAATAGCGGTGGAGAGCCGAGCACAAGGCAAAACATGAAGTGAACTTGTCCTCGCTGGCATTCTCCACCCACAACTCGATGGAAGCTTTCATCATCAGGTCATTGGCCAGGTCTGCGATCTTCGCGTCACCCTGGGTAGTAGGTACTTGCCCCTGCTGCTGCAATATCGCAACAAAAGCGTCGATGTCGCAAGTAGTGTCACCCCACGTGGCGACCATATCCTCGAACCTGGCTTGCATGTTGGATGCTTGTTGTTTTGCTGCCGCCAGCTGGGCCCGCTGACGGGCATCGTGAACCAGGGTGTCCATATCAACGTTCAGTGGGGCGAGCAAGCCGACGTCCATGAACAACTTACTTGCACGCTGTAGGGTAGCGACGTCGTCGGACACGGCACTGATGGACTCATGAATGCCCTTGACTAGGCGGATGGCGGCAGCGATGGCGTTCTCGAACGTGTTGTCTGGGAGCACGTTGGCATACTTGCTGTGCAGGTCTGTAAGCGCAGCAATGGCCGTCGTCGCGCCGTCCAGGTCAGTAGTCGGGAGCTGCTGGATAGTAGCCAAGGCGCGCTTGATCTCGGGAGCCTTCTGTCTCCACATCGTCCCTTTGGTCGCGAAGTCCTCGAAGCGCAACGCCAGCTGCTGGTTCGCCTTGATCTTGAGGCCGACGTTGCAAGCCACTGTCGGGGCGGCCCTGTTGCTCTGCTTGTCCACCGTGATCACGTCGTCGAAGTACTCGGGCATGGTGTCATTGCTGATGGAAGGGTTCAAGACGACGATAATCGCCCTCGCTGACGTTGTCACGCTGTCCACCACATGGAGGATTGGCTTCGACACGGCAATGTCGGCAGGGATGTCCTCGAACGCCGCGTCGATGGCGGTTGCAATGCCCATGAGGCGGGCGTGGTTCACTTGGGCGTCGTAGGAGCAGACGGCTGGCACGAGCGTGTCGTCGATCAACCACTTGACCACGGCTTCGGAAATCATCGGCGAAGGCAGCAGAGGCCAGAGAGTGCCAATCGAGGGCTCGCCTACTTTGAACGTGGCACCTTCAGCGGCCCATGGCAACGAAATGCAACACAACCGCTTGATGAACTCGTCATTCAACGTGTCAGTGCCGATGATCTCCCGTGAGCAAGTCCGCGCTGCCCTCATGCAGACCCCGACCAATGTATCGGGCAGCAGGTCCAGGCCCAAGCGGCCAGCGAGCCGCATCCTGGCAATTGTATCCACGTCAGGCTCATCGACGACCAACGCCTTCTGCAACTTCGCAAGCTGGTAGACATTCGACAGATGCTGTCCCAGACGGTCGGCGTCTCCAGAAAGTGGCCCCGTAGCTTCCTTTACCTTCGACTCCTCGGCGCGCATGCTGTCGCGCTTGTCGTAGCCATGCTGCATGGCGGAGCGCAGGCTGAGTTTCTCGATCCAGTAGTTCGGCGGACGCCTGCGCAACTTCTTGCCGCTGCCTGTACCCGTACTCCGCCGCCCCGCAGTCGTCGCTACAGTGACCTTGGACGCGACCGAGACAGCATCATCGTCATCGTCATCGTCGGGGAGCGGCTCGTTGTCCTCGTCGGGGAGCACCGAACAATGCAGGACCTCGGACTCGTGGAGGATCACGTCTACAAATGATGGCGTTGCTTTCTCCAGCTGGCATTCACTGTCCTGCCCGAGCTCGTGCTCCACCTTGGCCTTCTTGCTTAGACCCAGACGTTGCTCGACGCCATGCTCGTGGGACTCCTGGGCGTCATTGTCGCCCTCGAGGTCAATGGCGCCATCGCCTGTACCGCCTGTCCTGCGAGAAAGTCTCTTCTTGTCAGTGCGAGCTGCACGCGCGACCAAGTCCTCCACGGTCGGGGCCTTGCCCTGGAGGACGTCCAACACCGACGCCTCCGACACCGACGTCCGATGGACTGCCGACTCGCTCATCAACGAATTGACAGCTAGTACCGAGACGTCTCTGATGAGGGCGCCATCCAGGGCCTGCTGCTTCGACTCGACGGCCTGCGGGGCAAGGATTGCAAAACGAAGAGGCGGGCCATACCATGTAGGGTCAGACTTACACCCAGGGCCAGAGACACTAAAAAACCTGCATTTACAGCACCTGTGCTATTTGAGTCAGCACCGTCACTGGCTTGCTAGGCTGAGTTGGTTCAGGGTTAAGGCTTAGGGCGTGTCCTTGTCCATCCTCACCCTTCCCATTCTCCCGCCCCCAGTCCGAGGGCCTGGGCCCCGCTGGGGCCTTGTGGGTACGCAGCGTCCAACATGCCTTTGGGCCCTTGGGGAGACCTCGGAAACCATTGATTTGCATGAAGCGTCGTGCGATTGTTTGCCCTCTGGAAGGCGGGGGGAGGGCGTTCGGAGGAGCGTGGGCTAGGGAGGTGGTAAGGGAAAGAGGGGGAATTGCCACGACGCACCCAGCGCACTCCCTTCTCTGATCGAGGGCATCCAAGGTAGCTCCGAGACGCGCCAAAACGCTCCCAAGAGAGCTCCCTGAGGCCCTCGAGAAGCGCCCAACAGGCACCACAAGCCCCCCAAGATGCCCCAGGGCCATCGAAGGATACGATAATGTCATGGGGCGCCTGTTGGCAGGCTGGTTTCTCATTCCCAACCATCCTGTGGTGTTGGGTCTTCGTTTTGAAGAGACAGCGCCCCGCGTTCCTCTCCTTCGCCCCCCCCCCCCATCCTGCTTCCTCCCATCCCTGCCTCTGCTCACCGTATGTCCAGCCCGCCATTTCGGCACACCCCTCACACGCTTCGTGGCCCCATGCGGAACTCCACCCAGCCTGAGGCCCCACTGCATGTGCGCGGTGGTTTGGGGGGGGAGGGCGGGGGAGAGGGTGGGCGTGAGGGGGGTTGGGGTGGGGGATGGGGGCGGCGGTGAGGGTGGGAAGCGGGGGGAGGGAGGGGTGCGTGAGGGCGAGGGCGCGGCGAGGGTGGGGGTGAAAGTGTGGTGGGTGTGGGTGGTCGTGGTGGCGGTGTGTGTGTGTGTGTTGTGGGTTGGTGGCTGGTTGGGTGGGCGGGCAGGTGGGGTGGGACGGGATGGTGTGGTGTGGTGGTGGTGTGGTGAATGTGTGTGTGTGTGTGTGGTGGGTGGTGGTGGTGGTGGTGGTGGTGGTGGTGGTGGTGGTGGTGGTGGTGGTGGTGGTGGTGGTGGTGGTCGTGGTGGTGGTGGTGGTGGTGGTGGTGGTGGTGGTGGTGGTGGTGGTGGTGGTGGTGGTGGTGGTGATGGTGGTGTTGGTGGTGGTGGTGGTAGTGGTGATGGTGATGGTGGTGGTGGTGGTGGTGGTGGTGGTTTTGGTGGTGGCGGGGTCCAAGTGTGTGTGTGTGTGTGTGTGTGTGTGTGTGCGTGCGCGTGTGTGTGTGATGTGTGTGTGTGTGTGCTGTCTGCGTGTGTTGGTGGCGGTGGTGGTGGGAAGGGGGGGGAAGGGTGAGGCTGTCCACGACGACACCAGCTGACGTCGACACCAGCCGAACCCTGCCCCCCAAACAAGAGAACCAGTTTTCCAGAACAAACGGGTTACACCGACAGGGCTGCGACGACGACCACGACGACCATGACGACGACGATGACGACGTGAGGACCGCGACCATAACGTCACAACGGCCACGGCGACGACGACTGAGAAATCGATGGCCGCGACGACACCCGCTGCATCCCATTCCCCAACTAGGGGAACCCGTCTTCATGAAAAGGGAAGCGCCGACAGGGCTGCGACGACGACCATGACGAGGACGACGACGATGCAGCGACGTCGGAGAAGACACATATTCATGCTGAACTTGGCTCCAGAAAGCGATAGACCGTCCACGTAAACAGTGATCTGCGATCAGGGCGGCGAACTTGAAAAAAATGTACGACGACAGGGCTGCAACGACGATAGCGACGACCATGACGAGGACGGCAACGACGACGATGACTGCCACGACGACGAAGACGACAGCGATTCCAGCGGAACGTGTCTCCATAATGCTGTAACCAGCCCCCATAAACAGAGATGCCCCGACGTGGCTGTGTGGCTGGTGGGGGAGTGAGGGTGGAAGTGAGGGCGATGTGAGGGTCGGAGGGGGGGGGCGTGAGGACGAGGGTAAAGGTGCGGGTGTGGGGGGGGGTGGGAGTGGTGGTGGTGGTGGTGGTGGTGGTGGTGGTGGTGTGAGTGTATGGTGGGTGGGAGGTTGGGTGGGCGGGGTGGGGTGGGATGGGGTGGGGTGACGTGGTGGTGTGTGTGGTGATGGTGGTGATGGTGATGGTGTTGGTGGTGTTGGTGGTGGTGGTGGTGGTGTGTACGTGTATGGGTGATGTGTGTATGATGTGTGTGTGTGTGTGGTGTGTTGGTGGCGGTTTTAGTGGGAGAATGGGTCGAGGGTGAGGCTAGGAGGATGGAATGGGGGGAGGGAGGGCGGGGGGACTCTGGGGGGGGGGGGATGGGCGGGATGGGGGGGGGATGTGCGTATGGGTGGTGGTGGTGGCGGGTAGTGGTTGTGGTGGTGGTGGTGGTGGCGGTGGTGGTGGTGGTGGTGGTGGTGGTGGTGGTGGTGGTGTGTGTGTGTGTGTGTGCGCGTGAGTGTGCGTGTGCGCGCGTGTGTGTGTGTGTGTGTATGGTGTGTGTGTGTGCGTATGTGCGTGCGTGCGTGCGTGTGCGTGTGCGTGTGTGTGTGTGTGTGTGTGTGTGTGTGGGTGCGTGTGTGTGTGTGTGTGTGTTCGTGTGCATGTGTGCGTGCGTGCGTGATTGTGTGTGTGTGCGTGCGTCCGTGTGATGTATGCGACGGTGGTCGGGTGGGGTGGGGGTGGTATGCGGGGGGGGGTCAGGAAGGCTTCACTCTGGGAGTCCCAGCGGAAAGGTCTTCACTGAAGATCTTCATGTCGGGAGTCGTTCGGGCCTCCAGCTCGCCAACGAACGCCCCAAGTGGCATCTAAGACTGCCCAAACAGCCCCCAGGACAATAGACAGCCCCAGAGGCCCCCCGCCAGGCCCGCGAGGCCCCCAACGGGAAGATCTTCGCTGACGATCTTCACGAGGGGAGCCGTTTGGGCCCCCAAATCGTCTAAGAAAGGCGCAGGTGCCTGACATTGCCCACAAAGCCACCAGGAAAGACCTATGGGTTCTCGCCCAGAAGATCTTTCCGCGGGTGGCGGTTTGGGGCCTCCTGATCGTCCAAAAAAGCTCCAGGTAGCCACCCAGAAGCATCTAATTTGTTCTGGGGCTTCCCCCTTGTGGGGCCGTCTAGGTTCCCTCTGGGGCACTCTTGGGCCCTCCTCGGGCATTCCTGGGGCCGTCTTGGGCGCCCACGAAGGCTCCGAGAGGCAGCCCCAAGAGGGCCACAAGAGGGCTCAAGAGGGCCCAAAGAAGCCCAAAACCCAATAGGGCCAACTCCGCAAACTATAACATGGGTCTGGGGTGTCCTCCTCTTGGGGCTGCCGTGTGTCCCTCAGGGGCACTCTTGGGCGCCTCTTTGGGTGCTTCTAGGGCAGTCTTGGGCGCGTAAGGAGGCCCCGGGAGGGCCCCAAGAGAGCCCTGAGAGGGCTCCAAGAGAGCATGACGAGGGCCCAAGAGGGCCCATTCAGAAACATAACATGTGTCTGGTGCTTCCCGCTCTTAAGGGCCGTCTAGGGCCCCTCTAGTGAACTCCTGGCTCCGAGGAGCTCCACGGGCCTCGAGAGGGGCCCCAGAGGGCCCACTCAGGAACATGTAACATCGTTCTGGCGCGTCTCCCTGTTGAGCCCTCTTCGGCCGCTCTTGGGCCCGCTTGGGCCCTTTGGGAGCCGTGTGGGGGCCCGATAACGGCATGAGGCCCAGGAACACCAGGATACTTCAATACGCCATCCGCCCTTCCTTGGCCACTCTTCCTCCCCCCTCTCCACCGTTGCTTCCCCAAGTGTGTCCAAGACACCAGTTTCACGCCAGCTGGGGAAGCAGGCCGTGGAATGGTTTGATACAGCGCTGCCCAAACGTTTGGCCACACAGGCGTTTCCAAAAAGCAGGGAGCGGCAATGATAGCCGTATTAGGCGTCTTCAATGCACACGTGTGTGCATATGTATATATCTATATATATGTGTATATGCACGTAGACGCGAGCGGTCCATTCATAAGTGGTGGTCGCACCCTCACTATCCCAGACGTGTGAGCGAACAATCGGCGATGGCCACATACGGAGATCCACTAAGCGTAGCTCCACCGACGGCTCTGTCGGAGGGGTCCAGACATCGATCATGGCGGGGAGGAGGGGGGGGTCAGCCCAGGAAGCAGGCGGGCTGCGCGTCGCCGCGTTCCCTTCCCCTCGCGTTCTGTTACCAGTTGTCCCCCCCCCCCCTCTCCGCGTTTAGGGTGGGAATGGGGGAAGGATGGACCGCTGCTCCTCTGTTCCTTATCCTGGAAATCCCAAGCTCCTGGCCCTCCCCCCCGCCCCCCATCCCTCCCAACATGCACCCTCATCATCCTCCTTACCCATTTCCGTGTTCTATGCGGCTTGCTTGGGCAGCGTTTCGGGAGGGGCTGTGGGGAATGCGCGAAGCTTCCAGGGACCAACATGTATTATATTGCGACATCCATCACCCTCCTCCTCATCATCAGCATCATTGTTCTCTTCCTCATCCTCCTTCTCCTCATGTCGCCTCCTCCTTTCCTCCACCGCGATCCCTCCTCAGTTTGTGCAAGACTGAGCGCTCCTCAGGGAGCAGCGGGCTGCGCGACCCGCTCGGCCTGGGCCATGGCGTCCCAGGCGTCAAAGAGATCCTCCGCCTACAGGGCGGGATCATGAAGCACGTAAACCTGCCCGCGGCCACCATGAAGCCATGGGCTAATGGTGGTCGCAGGCAAGGTGGTGGCCCCCAACAACCCACAACCTGGTCGACCCGCGTTTCCCACATCTCTTTGTAGAGCCCCTCAGCGATCGTGAGCTCTTCGTCCTGCCCCGCGGCGCGCATCGCGTCGGCGAACGCCCTCCAGGCGACGCGCGCGCTGAAGTACGCCTCGAAGCCGCGATTGTATTCCTCCTCCATGTGCCGATGCGCTGCCGCCACGCTGCCCCACCAGGTGGGAAGCTCAGTCGAATCGGGTAGGTCGGCGCCAAAGCCAAGGACGCCAAGGGGCTGCTGCACCCAGTCGACGCCCGTGCTGCCATCCGCGTCCGCCTCCTGGAGCGGCTCGAGCCGCTGGCGTTTGGCAGAGCGTTCATCAGGTTCCTCAGCAGCCTTCTCGGCCGCGGCATCGCCATGGCCCACCTCGGGCCCCTCGGGCTTTGCCTGCACGGGCGCCTTCGGAGTCGCGACAGCTTTCGCTGTCTGGGCCGCAATGACCACGATCGACTCAGGCGGCGGCTTTGGCGGTGGTCGAGGCCGAAGCGCCTTGGCGGGCGGTGGGACATGGCGGCCAAGCGGCGGCACGTAGGGGATCTTGCCAAAGCCAGGTGGCGGCTGGCAGGGGGTGGCTTTCGCAGGTGGCGGGCGCTCACGCTGGCAGTGGGGGCGCAACATGCCCCCGCCCCGCAACGGGCGGGCGAGCGAGGACACCCACAGCTTGAGCCCGCCACAGCCACGGGTCAACGCATCCATCACGGCGAATCGAATCCTCGGCGGAGCCACCCAACCACCGCACGGAGCGGCAACGAGGCGACACCGAGGCGGCACGGGCGGCAACCAAACCACTACAGACCCGCCCAGCGCAAGAGGCGGCAACGAGGCGACATCCTGTTTGCGTTCGTCCCCCGTCACCGTTGCCCTTCTCATCCGCGCCCTTAGTTGCTAATGCCCCTCCTCCTTATTATCCTCTTCTCGTCCTCTACCGCCCCGTTCTCTCTCCCCGCCGCCCTTTTTGCATCCCTGCCTTCCCCCACTCCGTCTCTATCTCCGCACCCCATCCCCCCATCGTACCCCTTCCCCCCTTGCCACCCCCCTCCCCGCCACCCCGTCGCCATCACGAAAACGAACAGATAAGGTGAGCGGAAGAGGGGAAGGGAAGAGGAGGAGGAAGAGGAAGCGGAGGAGGAGGACGAGACGGGGATGATGGGGATGAGGATGAGCCTGAGGAGGAGGGGGAGGAGGAGGGGAATGAAGCAGGAGGGGGAGGAGGAGGAGGAGACGGTGGAGGCGGAGGAGGAGGGGGGAGCAGGAGGAGGAGGAGGAGGAAGAAGATGAGGAGGCAGAGGTGGAATAATGACTTGAGGAACAACGGAGGGAGAAGGGGGGGCGGAGGATGAGAAGCCAGGGGGAAGGGGAGCGGGAACCGGATGATGAGGAGGAAGGTGATGATGCAGTTGAAGATTGCAAGATGGCGATGTCGATGCTGATGAGGACGTTGATGACACTAGCGATGAGGGGTACGACAGTCCTGGAGATAATGACCTGGGTGTGCCACTCCGACATGGTCCATGGTGGGGTGATCATTGGGCGTCCCTTCCCCATCCCCTGCGGCCGTCTGGTAGAAGACCTCCACCTGCATATTCTGCTCGCCCGACGACCCGATAAGCCAACCCTTCATCTCCTGGCCGAACCCGCAGTCAGGCATTTCGACATACGTGCTCTCCAAGCCCAGCTGCTTTGCTGTGAACGTGGCGTCTCCAACCTTCAGGCTGGTGCTCTTGCCTTGGATGAGCTCGCCCTTGCGACTGGGCCTGACTCCTAGCATCGTTTTTGTGCCTGCACTCTCTCTGGGTTGGGCGAGACAAACCTTGCTGCCTGCCGCCAAGTCAGCTGGCGATGCCACATCCTTCAACGCGTTTTGGGCCTCCCTGGCAATCTTAGCCCTCATCTTGAAAGCCTCGTCGTTCTTGATTTTGGCTGCGAACTGCTTGTATGTCATGATTGATGCCAAAGGAGTCCACAACCAGTAACACTCTGTGCACTGTCTGCGGGACGCGTTTGGCAAGTTGTCCGCCTTGGCAAAATTAACATCCTGGCTGTTTGCTGGGCAACTGTCGCAATGCTCCAAACCTGAACCAGACGGACGCCGTCCACCACGCTGCCGCCCACTCGACTCACTGTCTGACTCGACTGCTGGTTTTCTCACACCTTTTCGAACCTTTCCACCTTTGTGTTGCTCCGCGCCGACAGCGCGTTTCCCCATGAGTGCCAGGTACCCCGAGACGTGCGAAACAGGTGGCAACGCACGGTTGGCAAGGTGATAGTGTGCACAGCTCGGGGACGCACGGAAGCAACTTCAGAAGAGCCACAGATGGCCACGGATGGTGTCGACGCTATGTGGCCGTTAATCCCACGAACCCGCTGGGCGGAGGCGGTTACGTAGGCCGCCTAACTTCGCGCATCGCGCCCCGCGACGCGCGGTTATCTTCGCGCCCTCGCGCCTTCACGCCGCCCCCATTGGGAAACCGACGCTCGCTCTGGCCCAGGCCGCGACGCGCGAAGCGTGGTTATCCCCGCGCCTCTGGGGGTGACCTGGTGACCTAGTTTACAGCGCTTCCTCGTTTCACCGCAGTATTTCCTTTCAGAGGGCAGGTGAGCCTTCCCACGGTAAGATGGCCTCCAGACAGCCTCAGAGAGCACACGACATCCCAAGTGGGCTAACGTATCCCAAGATGGCACATGGGGGGACCAATGGCCCAAGTCCCTAGGACGGCGACAAATTGCCACGAGGATCCCAAGGACGCCCCAAGAGGCCGAAACGTCGCCGCTGTTGATGTTCGACATCGTCGTAGTCGACGTCGTCGTCGTCGTGGTCGTGGTCGGCGCCGTCGTAGTCGACGAAGGTCGTCGACGTCGGCGCCGACGACATCCGACGACGACGTCGGCGATGACGACGTCGGCTACGTCGACGTTGACGTCGCCGCCATCGCCGTCGACGTCGTCGTTGTCATCGGCGTCGTCCCCGTTGACGTCGTCGTCGTCGTAGTCGCATCGTCGCCGTCGTCGACGACGACAGCGAGGCCCAAAGAAGGGCCTCAGAGGGGAGGGTGAGTACGATTCGTCGGCCCTAGGGCCGACGAACCGCACCTCATCCTCCCCTCTTGGGCCCCTCTTGGGGTGAGACTCGAAGAGTTCGGGCGGCTGTTACTGGGGCACCCCTAGTGGGGGTGAGCGAAGCCCCAAGAGAGGCCCAAGAGGGAAGGATGAGTTACGGCCCGTCGGCCGCCAGGAGGCATTTGTTGACGGCCACCCTCCGTCAAGAGGTGCCGACGTCGACGACGACGTTGGCGACAACAGCGCGCCCTGATCTAGTCGACGCTCCAAGATGGCTCCAGATACTTCAAGATGGCCCAAGTTAGCATCCGACAGACATCCACGAGTCCTCAGAGCGGCCCCAAAAATCGTTTCAAGTGCCTGCTCAACCCTCCAATGACCCCCCCAAGATGCCACCACAGCTCACACACCTAAGGCACATCGGTGTTGCTTGCTTTTTGTTGTTTCGCTTCCGATGGGCTCTTGAGGCATCACGGTCGACGGTGGCCCCAAAACGGCGACGACCACGCGTCGTCGATTTCGTCGTAGTCGACGTCGTCGCCGACGTCGGCGCCGATGACATCGGCGACGACGACGGCGGCGACGTCGGCGATGACGAGTCGGCGACGACGACGTCGGCTACGACGATGTCGACGTCGTCGTCGGCATCGCCGACGACGTCGACGTCGTCGTTGTCGTCGGCGTCGCCCCCGTTGACGGCGTCATCGTCATAGTCGACATGGTCGTCGTCGCCGTCGACGTCGACGTTGTCGTAGCCGACGACGTCGACGATGACGTTGGCGACGACGACGTCGACTACGACGACGTCGACGATGGCGTTGGCGACGACGATGCGCCCTGTCCGACGCACGCGCGGCGCGCGGAGCAAAGCTGTGCCCGCGGGGCGGCCTCGAACGTCACGTTCTGGTCCACCCGCCGAACGGCGGCCGTGCAGAAAGAGCGGCAGAGAGCTGCAGGCAACGCTGCCCTTTCCCTCATTGTACCTCTCGTCGGTTCCTCCGCTATCGTATAACACCGTTGCTTATCGTACATCCTCCGTCCTCGTCTCGTCACCTCCCGTACCTCACCGCACCCCTCGTGCTCCCTTCCTGACCTGGCCTCCACCTACATGTATAACCTCTTTCCTATCTTACCTCCTCCATCTACCTATATCCTAACCTCTCCCCTATCTTACCTCCTCCACCAACCCTGTCGACAGTCGCATCTCATTTGCGTCCGTTTACCCCGTGCTCTGCGCCAGCCTTCCCCTTTTGTCGCCATTGTCCTCCCCACCCTTGCCCCCCAGCCCATCCTCCCTTCCTCACCGCTCCCCCGTCCCCCCCCTGCACTACCCGATTCTACTCCGAGTCCTCAAGCACAGTGCTACACCGCTCAGCGGGCAGTCAACTGCCTCAACTTCTTGGGACTCTTGGCCGACGAGGGGGGGCCAAGCTCGATGACAGGCGTGTGCGGCATCAACTTAGTGAGCCTGCCCAGGGGCGTGATCGTCGTCTGGCTGCCACTCTCCGAAACCTTGCGCTTTTTCAGGAGCTCATATTTCGCCTTGGCGACCACACCAGTGTCGTTCGCGGCCACCACGCGAACAATACCGATCGTGAACTTCTGGTGTTGTTTGGTGATCTGCTTCTCTGCTTTGAGTTCCTTGTTTAGGTGCTGCACGTGATCGATGAGCTGCTTCTTCGTCATTTTGTGAAGGTTGGGCGAGCCACGGGCCGACATCACGCAATCTGGAGCGCGGAGGCGACTCCAAGACGTTAAACTGATCGCAAAGACTGGCCAACCTGAGAGATCGGAGCCAACATGTCCAAAACCACGGAGACGGGGCAGGGTACCCCCAACCAACAATTGTTTAGGGTGACAGGTGGCCGACGGGGCAGGGTATCCCACCAACAGGTGTGTAGGGCGGTTCCTCTTCCAGTCCTCCCTATCCCCCTTCGGGTACGGGTCTGCCCCTCCCGCTTACCAACCATCGACAAAACCCATCGGGAGCGGAAGACAGCTTCCAATTGGCCCAAGAGGGCCCAAGAGCGGCCGAGGAGGGCACAAGAGGGAGACGCACCATACTAATATTACATGTGTCTGAATGGGCCCTCGTGGGCCCTTCTTCAGGCCCTCTTGGAACCCTCTTGGGGCTCGCTTGAGGATTCTCGGAGGCAAGAGCCACCCAAAGAGGGGCCCGCAGCGGCCCCAAGAAGGGTGAGCCCCATGCAACTAGTATATGTTTCTGAGTGGGCCTCCGTGGGCCCCTAGTCAGGCACTCGCGGGTCCCTCTCAGGGCTCTCCTGGGGCCCTCTGGGAGCCTCCCTACGCGCCCAAGACTGCCCTGGGAGCACCCAAAGAGGCGCCCTAGAAGGCCCCTGATGGGGCCCAACCCAGCCCCAAGAGGAGGAAACCCCAGACACACCTTATATGTTGCTGAGTGGGCCCTCTTG